CGTACATTTGCGATTTAATAAAGTCACGTTTGTTTTCGGGTTCAGGACGTACAGTTGCCAAACCTGTTAAATTAAGATTGAAGAATTTTTTAGATAGTGAATACATATTGCAATTTTTAGCTGTTATAGTTACCATTTTTGTAGGCGTATTCCATAATATACGCAGCAATTTCAATGGAACATTCTGTAATTTTGCTTAGAGGTGGATATAGACTGCCTTTGGCCAAATCTTCTGGTTCGCATAGGTCTGCCAAGCGTTCAGCTGACATTAGGAACACTTCTTCCGGTATGGTCAACATACCGGCACAGAGAACACCCAAAGCAACACCAGGGAATATATATGAATTATTACCCTGACCGGGATAGAATGTTTTGCCGTTGTACTCCACGGGATCAAAAGGTGAACCAGAGGCAAAAATACATTTGCCTTTGGTATAGGTGTAAGCCTGTTCGGCTGTACATTCGGCTTTGCTGGTGGGATTAGATAAGGCAAATATTATGGGCATATCATTGAAGTCGGCCATCATTTCAAGTATCTCCTTGGTGAAAGCACCGCCAATGGCAGCTGCACCAATGAGTACCGAAGGTCTTAGTTTCTCAACAGCCTCAGCCAGAGTATCGATTGGTTCATAGTCTTGAGCAAAGTGTAGCTTGTGCTCGGTAATACCACCGGCTGGACGATCTTTAACAATCAAGCCCTTACTATCAACCATCCAAATGCATTCTTTAGCTTCGGCTTCCGAAAGGCCTTCTTTCATTAAAGCCATTAAACATAAGTTGGCAATACCCAAAGCCGCCTCACCAGCACCGAGGAATAAAATTTTGTTCTCTTTCAATTGAGTGTTCTTGATTTTCAGTGAAGCCAACAGACCTCCCACAGCTACAGAGGCAGTACCCTGAATGTCATCATTGAAAGTGCAATAATCGTGGCGATATTTTTTTAACAAGCGGAAAGCATTAGCATTAGCAAAATCTTCGAATTGTATTAAACAATTTTGTCCGAAACGACGAACGGCCGAGGTCATAAATTCCTCAATGAATTCATCATATTCTGGGCCGGTGACACGCCTTTGTCTCAAACCAATATATAAAGGATCATTCAAAATACTTTCGGTGTTTGTGCCAACATCCAAAGTGATGGGTAGACATTGGTGGGGTTTGATGCCAGCCAAAGCGGTATAAAGTGATAGTTTACCCACAGGAATACCCATACCATTGGCACCCAAATCACCTAAACCCAAAATACGCTCACCATCGGTAACAACAATAGCGCGAACATCTGTTTCGGGCCAGTTCTGGAATAACCATAAAACAATAATTATTATTTTTTATAAACAAATTTTCATTTAATTTAAACTCACCTTTAAAACATCATAAACATGTCCTTTATCGTTAATTGTTATATACATGCCCTTGGGATATTGAAAGATTAAACTGAATTTTTGACAGGCTAAGCCTACTGTGGGCGTATAGACTAATGGCATCATTTTAGCAACATCTGACGATAGGACTTTATAGAATAAACGTTCATTGCGTTCGGCCAAGTTATTCAAATACATGTACTTGTCCAGATCATTCTCCAAACGGTCGAGCAATAGCAAACTGTGTTGAACTTGTTCATCTTCGGTTTTAACTCTGGCTGGCAGAAGGCCTTGTATGCCTAAGATTTGACGTTCTTCAAGGGAAAATGCAAGACCCTGTAAAAAATATTTTAAATGTAATAGATATGTTATTAATTATAGTTAGGTTGTGAACAATTTATTAGACAGTATTTAAATGGCCTCTAATTTTTTTTTATCGTCTAATGTTATTTTCTAACTAAATTTTATTTATTATCTATATATGTTATAGATATTAATGTATATCATTAATCGTATCTATAAATCACAGCATTAAGATACTTTCACAATAATTTATAAACAAAAATAAAATAACATTGCTCTTGATAGATCATTTGAAGGTCATGATAATTATTCATTAGTGTTGTAGGCTTGGAGAATTGCAATTTTTAAAAGTATTAAATAATTTTTCGGGGTTTAATTATTGAATAGTCTACATATCCGAGAACTAGTATATTTATTGCTTTTTTGACAGGTATATCGACTAAGCTCGACTATTAAATTGGATTTGACTAGTCTATAGATTAGTCTATCAACTAGTCTATGGACCAGCCTATGGAATGGCCTATGGGCTATGCTATGATCTATTCTACAGACTACTAGACCATTTTGAATGTAGAACTAGACAATATATTGGATTTTAATATACCTTCTCCTAAAAACTGGAAAAAACTGTTTTCGTTACCTTATAAAAACGGAAAGAGACCTTTATATATATAATCAGTTATGACGTCTGAAAGTCCAATCTGTCGACTTTAAAATAAAGATTTTACCTCTGTTATAACTTCATCAGTCTTCGAAATATCTTAACTTAAACTTAAAGATGACAAATTTAATCAATAAAGACGTCATCGCGCTATTACAACGAGTTCAGGAGACAATATCTCAAAACTATGATGTGATTTGAGCACAGATTCGGATTCAGAAAAGTATACTTTGATCTACGAGTTAAAAATTTGTTGACCGGTGTTTGGCTGTGTTTGTTTTATTATTTTTAATATGACCTGTTTTGAAAATATCTAATACAATTTATTGCAAATTGATTTGTTTACGGTCATTATCAATAAATTTGGCAAAAACGTGGCAACAATAACATTTCATTAGAAATATATAAAATAATCTTTTTTATAAAACAAAACAACATATGAATATGATCACGTATACCTAATGGGGGATTTTAATAATTAAATTTTTTTATAGAAAAAAATTGCAAAAACGAAATTTTACAATTTATTTGTATTCAACAAAATTATTACAAATTTTGTTTATCATGCAAATTTATTTAATTTTTCGTGTAAAATTTGCACGATTTTTGTACATATGTATAAATAATATTTGTAATTAAATTTGTATCTAAATAATAAATATATTTAAGTACATTTACTATGATCATCAGCTATGAATTAACATACGATTAACATATAATCATTATGTACTTAGAAATTTTGATTTTGGGTACAATTCCATATGGAATGTTTAGTAATATTTTGTTTTTAATTAAATCATACGATCAGTTGTTTAGTAAGTGTTTGTATTTGTTTTTATTATGTTTGTAAAAACATACTTTAATTATTATCAAAAAAATACTTTTGTTTTGATAAGTTTTAAATTGGCCCTGACATTGGTATGCTAAAGTTTTTTTTTAGTTACTCAGGCATAAGCCCGTTTATCGCATGATTTATTGACCAAAATAAAAAGTTTTTTCAGTTTATTTTCAATATCACTATTACTAGGCAAATAGTTAAAAACAAAAAACAAAACTACTTTTTTTGGGTAAACAATGATCATTCCTTCTCTTTATCTCTCTCTCTTCCATAATTAGTGTTGTGTAAAAATGGTGTTAAAAGGAAAGTATTAAAAGTTTCTGCTAATTGATGATTAAAAAGTAAAATTTTGTTTTTGAAATCAACAAAAAAGAGGAAATACCAAAATGACCATGACATTTACTCATAGATCTTTAAGATCATTAAATATTTCAACAATAACATTAATGCAATATTAAATATTGTATGATCAGTGATCACACATAGCTGGCGGTCATATATAAAGATTTCATAATAAATACAACAGCATTAACATGGTCATAATGATGCTAAAAACTCTTTTATATACAAAATTGTTAGTTTTAAATGTTAAATAACTACCGTTAACTCAAAAAAGTAATATTCAATGGGCATTAGCGTCTTTTGGTAACTTTGATTGCTAAATAAACATTTAATAAATTTAGTTTATACAAAAAATTAAGATAGCTGTTTTTGCTCCTAAACACGTCCCATGTATCTAATATGATTACACCTATAACTATTTGTTTATATAGCGGCTTGTCTTCATATTTATTTAACCGAATTTTGTTTAACTTTTAACTAAATAAATAAAAATATTTGCTTAAAACTTGTATTTTAAGTACTAAGAGGCTCTTTATTTCTTTATTAGCATTTTATTTTAATCTCTTCAAATATAGTATATTTTGTCATTAGTTCGGGGGGAAGTACCGCTATTATGTTATTCAAATGACACACATATTTATGTATGTATGTACGTCACTTTTCATATACTCTTAAAATTGTCTATGTACTCACAATGATTTTTATTTTTTAGTGTTTTCTTTTGTGAGTCAAATGTGTATTTTAGTTTCTTTTTAAAAAATTCATCAAACATGACGAAATTTACACATTTGTTAGATAAAATAAAAACAAAAGTCATGATATTTTTTTGTTATTATGATGAAAAGTAGGTATTTGTTTGCGGAATGACTTTGACATTTATTATTTAGCAAACACTCAACGAATTTTTGTTGTAAATTTTTTGCATTATGAATAAATATTATTAAAAGAACTTGCCACCTTCGGAACTAGTTCTAGGTAAGCTTTAGACCGTCTTCATAGCAGTTATGGAACTAGTACTTTTTTTCAGAAATTTTTGTTAAGATTGAAGGCCAATATTGTGGAATATGCAGTTAATGAATTGCACAGGCTAATAAAATATGGTAAAACTGATGCCAAATACGAAAAATTATAATCTGGATTAAAAAATGTTGGTATGTGTTAACATTGTCTCAATTACAAAGACCGGCAATTTTTAAACCCAGATACCAGTGTATAGATTTCTCCATGACATCGGGTTTTCGAGATATCGAGTCATAAAGTTTGAAAATCCTTAATTTGAAACTTTTCAACAGCACGAAGGCATTTTTGTTTCCAGAACCTGTTCTGTCATCTGAGGTCCAATCATTCTTCAAGAAATCTTAGGTTTAGATTTATCGAAGAAGAAATTAGATATAACGGGGGTTAAAAGCGTTTATTATATCAACACAGTTGACTTTCAGATGACATATGAATTATTTATAAACAAAGATGTCTTCACGTCTCAAATATTGACACAAATTCCGATTTATTTTCAAATTTTTGGATATCTCAAAAACCTTATGTGAGAAGAGGCCATATACGAGTTTAGCGCAGATTAATCTTTGATTAATTTTAATTGAATTAAAAACATTGTGAAATAGTTAATTTTTCGAAAAATTATTGATATTTTGAAATCATTCTCCACCACTATTTTTTGTTAAATAATTTTTTTTACAAAAATAGTATTTCTAAGTAAAAATGTTCGAATTTGTATGCCAAAAACATTGTTTTTCGAAAGTTTTTTCTTTCGAATCGATAGCCGGTGTAATCCGGCCTTTATTTCAAAATCTATTTGATACATACGTTTCTGTTAAAAAGTATATTAACCTAAACTCTTACGTTAAATATTTTCACAGTGTATTAACAATTGTTATACACATTTATGTACATATATCGATTTTCTCTAACAAAACGTGCCTGTGGTTTTCTATATAGTATTTTAAAAAATGTATTTGAATGTTTGTATATAGTATTTGCTTACATCGATTAAGTAATGATGAGTTTTTGTTTTACTGTTCTCTCAAGTAATAATTAAGATACTATATACAAACAAACGAACATACTCGCACATTCAAGTTCTACATGATGATGACCTTGAATAAATGACCGAGTGTGGAAAAATACAGGAATTAAATTATGGATATGCGATACAGAGCTACCAGAAGTTATAATAAATTGATGTTAATAAAAACAAATTCTTTAAATTTCCACAAATAAATTTCAGAACCGATACTTCAGATAGTTTAAATTTTGAATGCTTAACAACACCAGTTATTTTGGAAATTTCCACAGAATATTGTTTTCTAAATTATCGGCAACACTCATTGTTTAACAAATGGAGTTTATTATTATTATTATAATATAAATAGCTCACTTAGGTTTAAAATCATTTCAAGTGTTTATTATTGTTGGGTGATTTTGATATGACGATAAAGAATTTTATAAATGACATGATTGTTATCATATTTTGAAAATTTGCTTTTAATAATTTAAAATTTTAAGTGTGTTTGTAGATAAAATAGATTAGCTTTGCGATATTTTTGATAAGACCCATTAATCTATATAATTTTGAATAATATATTTTTTTAAAGATTAAAATTTTCCCATGAAATCAAAACTTTCAAAATTATCAAACATACATTTTTATTATTTGAAATTTGGATTATGTCTGCTATTCTAAATTTCTAATAGAAATTTTCGATCTACATCTTAAATGCTTAATAAGGATTAAGGCTGGGTTACTGTAGCATATACAACATTTCTTTTCGATTAATCTTCTTCAAAATTTGGAATATGGCGAACTCAGCGCCCGCTAAGTAGACTTTTTCTTGATACCACTTCATCCAGTAATGCGAACAATAAAATTTTTCTATTATCGAATTTAAATTTAAAATTTTTCAACATATTAAAGTCTTCCAGATATCCTTCTTGGGGAATCTGATGTAGGAATACCTCATAAATCAGACGTTTTAGTGCATTCAAGTTTTATAAAATATTTTAAATTCAGAATCGAAATTGTTAGGAAAAAAATACGTTTTAAATGTTTTAGCCGTAATAAACTCAATATTATGTTAACAGTATTCGGGATCTCGTTCCGTATTACCGCATATAAAATCAAGTAAAATTGATTGTAAATTTTCTGAGATGGCTGGTATTAGATATCTAATAAAATCGAGTACATTTTAGCTTAATTTCGTTATTAAATTCTGTTTTTGATAGGAAAGCCTATTCGATCACGTATGCAGTAAAACGGGATCTGATTTAAAGTTGACTGAATTTTGATAAAATGTGTTGATAATACAAAAATCAAATTCCCGGATATTTCTTTATTCAATACATTAATACAAATCCTCCATGGAATAGCACAAAAATTATGTGTTGTATGTAACAATCTATTAATTGGGCTTTAGTTGGTCTACATTCTTTCACTTTTCTGTAGTTACTAAGTAACAGACATCAAAATTTTAAATTAAACATTTTTAAATTCAAATTTCTATAGAAGGTATTTAAAGAACTGGTTGACCTAAAGTTAAAAGGAAAAATTTCCGACCTATGACAAGTTTTATTATAATAAATTACTGTTGCAACACAAAATTATGTGTTGTGGAAATTTTAAAGTTCGAAAATTTTGAACCCAAACTTTGTAATACAACATTTTGAATTTTAAATAAAATCCGTCTGCTCATTTACACAAAGTTCACTCAAGCCATAAAAAACATTTAATTAATTGTAAATAACATTTAAATATGTTACTTTTTTGTTACTTTTCCGTCATTAAAACATTTTAACCCTCAATAGAAGCGTCATAAATTATTCATCAAAAGCTTTAATAAAAAATTTACCCTTAAGACTTTGAAAGCTTTTTTCCACACTATTATGCACCCAAAAGCTTTTGCAAAAAAAAACAGCCCAAAGTGGAAAAAAAAATCGTAATAATTACCTTGTTATATTTCTTTTTCTGCAAACGTTCCAGACCGGAAACACTGCCAGGTACATCATTATCACCACCACAGCCCCATAGACCTAAACGATCTCGGGCAGCATTATTCAAGGAACCATTATTTGTGCAAGACATGGTGAAATTTGCGCTTTGTTGTAGATTTATTTGAGGAGTTTTTAAGAATGAATAACGTAAATTTTGATTGAAGGCGTTTATAGCATTAACATTTCGTGTTAAATCCTTAAGATCCGCTGGAGTTAGAAGCGGTAAATTGGAAGTAGTTTTCTCGTTTTCCTTTTCAGTGAATTCTTTTCCCGACAATGATTCAGCTGCTGCTGTTGTAGTAAAATTTAAAACACTATTGTTAACGGTGTCTAGCGACTGGTTTGGTTGTTGCTCGGCGGCGATACGACTAGTACTGATTTTACAAAGCTTAGCAACACCGTTCGACAACTCATATTCAATAGTGGTGGTTGTGGTAGTTGTTGTTGCTAATGGTGTAGTCGTATGATTTCCATTCGCTTGGCTATTGCGCATAGTAGACATAATAGTGGTGGTGTTCGCATTTCTATTCATACAATGACAAGTTTTTGGCGATGGTGAGGAAACCCCAGATTGTGTATTGGTTGTGACGTCACTATAGCCACAACTACAATGACAACCACTACTGGCACAACCAGCAGCTGTTGTTTCTCTTAGCTGTTGATCAGCTGTTTGGAGTGTGCCATTTCCATTGATTTTATTACTACAGTGCTGATGGTGATGGTGCTGTTGTTGCTCGTTTATTGGTATTGTTGTTTTATAAAAGTGTTGCTCGTTTGGTGTTGTTTGGCCATGAGAGGGGCTATATGAGTTTGCTGCCGTTGGATATACGGGTGAACTGAAATTTAGAAAACAAAAACAACAAAATATTCAATTAAATTATAGCAATTTATATGAATAGTATATTAAATTTTTTATTAAAAAGATTTTATTTATAAATTTAGCAGTTTATTTTTTGAAAGTAATTTAAATTAATTCAATTACTTTTAAAATGACACACGCGTGTTCATAAATAAAATAATTTTGTTTTTGTATTCCTGATATTATTGAAATTACTTAATATTTATTAAGAATATGTTTGTTGCAAAAAATCTATACTTTTACCTAGCCAGTTCTAAATAAATGACCGTATTTTTAATGGTGGGAATTTACAAAATGATGTCATATTTTTAAAAGGTTTTGAAATTATTATAAAATCTTTCTTGGCCAGTGTTATTGTGTGTGAATATGGATAACGAAGGGTGTAATAAAGTGGCAATTAAAAGACTTTTGTTCATTATCTAAAACTAACTGATAAAAAATTTTAGCCTAATCGGATAACAGAGCTCTGGCACTGAAATCGTTTACATATATCGCAATATAAGGACATGGGTATACTTTTTAATGGATTGAATTGTACTGAATCCAAATTTAATGAATCACACCACGTTTTCTTAACAAAAAGTTTGAAGAAACTCCGTTTTCGCCATATTCGAGACGTTATAACTGCGTGAACTAAGTATTATTATTATATAAAATTTTTTTGTCGTCTGAAAATCCTACCTTTTCAAAAAAGGGTATAACCTGCGCAATTTTGTTCTTTCTTTATTGAAACTGTTTAATCCAAAAAGCTTGGGTTCTGCTATATTTATGGCATTTCTTTAAGAATGCTAAAAATAGCTCCCATACAAGTTTAAATGGTCATAAGTTTGTTAATTATATAGTAATCATGATAACATTTTGCTCAATTTAGTTGTATACAATCAAAAATTATATTGTAATGTATCGGACATCAGACCAAAATTTACCCTATATAAGGTCCTTTCTAAAAAATCACTTTCCAAAGACAAGGGCCAATTCAGAAAATTACTTTATGGTTTACAACAGGCTTAAAAATAAAAGTATAGGGATGAAATTCGACAGAAAATAGTTTTATATTAACCGAAATTTTCGGAACGTAATTGACCCCATATAACAATTCTTGAAGAAAATCATTCAAAAATTATAAAATTAAAATAAAATTCGACAAAAAACCTCCTTAAAGTATAACACTTTATGTACTTGTTAATTATTTACTGTGAATTACTGCTTATTGGAGATCAGAACAATAGCGGGTATGGTATTAAGCGTTTCTGCTGATGTTTATAACGCAGAAAAATATTGATACACCCCCCTTAAAGTATACTGATCGATTTAGATTTACTTTCTGAGTCAATTAAGACAAGGTAAGGCCAAGGTACAGGCCGCAATTTTCAAGATATTTTGATGAAATTTGCGGCCCTAGGACAAAGCCTATTTAAAATAGTGAAATCTCTTAATTATTTCATATAGTCGGCCATGACCGACTATACTTTCCTTCTTGTTTTCTATTCAGTCCTATAAACACCTCCAATTGCGTGATGAAACGCACATTTACCTTAATTTTAGAATATCATCTTTGACCTTCAATAGTTCGGATAGCGGACACCTGACTTGTAGTTCTTCAGAAGACTGTTTATGTGTCTAAAGTACATATGTGGCTCATTTACTGCAATACTGGCAAAATCAAAATTCATGTTTTCTTTTTTTAAGTACTACAAAATATGGACCGTTCTAAAATCTTTCATATTGATAATTTATTTTCAAAAATTTTAATAAATTTCGTTCCGAAAGATATTTGTAAACGTAAACGTAAAAACTAGAATTCATATTTTTCACGCTTTTTTACGCGCCGCATTTTTTTTAATTATACCAGTTTTGTCGTAAATGAACGATGAACGATTCCTCCCATACTAAAAATTGATCTTTGATATTTTTTTTGGTTTGTAGGTTTGTCAAGTCATTGGCACATTCCCAAATTCGCAAATTTTGAAAGGTATTGATGATTCGCTTTTTTAATTATTATTGTTTTTATGATTATGCAGTTTTCATAATATTTTGTTTGGAAATTAATACACTGAGAAAATAATAAACTTAATCAGAATAATCAGGGTTATAGCCATATAGTAGCATATAGGCGAAAGGGATTGTCAAAGACCTAAGTCCTATGTCAAAAACCTAACTGCTGAGAATGTATTAGTAGAAGCAGGAAAATAAACACGGTTGTTCAAAATGTACTAAATAATAAATGTATTTTTGATACTAGTGAATGAAAATATTAGTTAATTAATTTTTTAAGAAGATATTTCATCTTAAAACAAATTATAAACACGTCTTTTTGTTATCTTTTTCTGCACTGATGGAAAAAGAAAAAAAATATGTGAAATACTTTTTTCATTTTCAATACGAAAATTTACAACTTTTCTTTTTTCAGTTTTAATTAAAATGAAATGTCAAAGAATAAAAAACTTTTTTTTCGTTTGTAAAATATAAATTATTTTCGGGGTTTTAAATACATTAAAAGTGTGGCAAAAAATAAAAAATATTAAGTTTAAGTGAGAAGAAAAACTATTAAGTGCTAATATCCTCTCAATTTCGGGAAGAAAATTTGAAGTTTTGTGAGTGCGTTTAGTTCTCTCAAGTGTGTTTTATTCTCTCAGAACTCGTCTGTGTGAAGAGAATAACAAATTTTGTTTGACAACCCCTTCAGTTTCGCCTATATCCCTACTATATGGTTATAGCCAAAGTAAATTAATAAAGTAGCGACACGAGTTGTTGTACAACAAACGTCTACAAAAACCACAGGTAATTTGTTTTTGTTCGAAATACTCACTTGTCAAAATTTGTTTACAAAAATGAACCAGTAATTAATGGAAAATATGGCATTATGGTTGTACTTTCCAAAAATATGTTGTTATTTATATTAAAAGTCACAGAGTTTTCTTTATTTTTTAAAAATTAGAACATTTTTAACAATATTATACACTTAAAATACACTTTTTCACATTAAATACAACAAATTACTCAGAAATTTGTACAAAAGCAAGCGTTAAAATGAAAACAAATATGGCAACATAAACATTTTTGACAAGTAAGTCCACAAATACCAAGTTAAAAAAAATAGTCAGCTGTTCAAATGAGTCTACTTTATAAATTTACTTTGGTTATAGCTATTTAGAGCTAAATATCTCGAACATAGTACTAATATCAAATATATTAATGCAATATACGGTCCTAAAAAATATCTATGTGGGTATATAAACTATTAAGGTGTTTAAAATTTTTATGAATTTATTAAAAGTCCTATCAGTTTTGTAAATTATATATAATTATTTCATTTGTTTGTGTAGACGTCATATACATATGTATTTTGGATCCATTTAGCTATATCCGTCTGTTTTTATTTTTATTGAGATCAAATTTCTGAAGAGCAAATCTTTGGAATTAAATTTTTGAATAATTCTATCAGAAATGCTTTCGGGAAGTTTGATATTTAAAATCAGCAAAATTGGCCCATAAATAACGCAGTTATGAAAAAATCCAAAAACAAAGATTTTTTTAGAATTTTGAATATATTTCGGAGGCAATGCAGATATACGGAGGTAATGTGTATATTAAAAAAGAGATATTTGAAAGATCTTTAATTAGGCATACATTTGTACATTATGTATAGCAAATAAACTATTTATTCGAGATATTATATCCTATAATATGTGCAAGAATATGAGGTTTCGGGGCCTTTACTAATTACTCAACTATTTGAACAGGGTTTGGGATTTTTTATTGTAAAAATATAAAAATAAAATTTAAATTTAAAAAAAATTTCTTCTCATTTGTTATTTAAGGTATTTTCAGACTACAATACTGAGTATTAACACACTTCAAATTAAAAATATTATGAAAATAATTCGCATTTTCAAAACATCAATCCGAAAAATACATTTTATGTTTACACTATAATATTTGTAATATTTTTTATCCAATTTTCAATTATTTATGCACTTTTCGTTCTTATTTTTAATGTATTTTACACTTTTTGTTTGTTTTTTATTGTATTTATAAAATACATACCGAATACGTTTGAAAATAAAAAGTTTTTGAATTGTTTTAAAAAATTTATGAATACCGACCGTATGCCAAAAAAATCAGTAATATTTTTGAAAATCAAATTACAAATTATATTTAGACTAGTAAATTGTATTATGATACAAACATTTTTGACAAGTATTAATACTCAGTATTGTAGTCTAAAAATACCTTTATACAATTTTTTATAATTTTTCATCATCTCATTATAAAATTTAAATGTATTTTTCTTGGTTCTACGGATTCGACTATTACAAATTTTGAACGTAAGATTTTTTTTCAGTGTTTGTTTTTGTTATTAAATTTTATGAGTACAAAAATCATTTTCAAAACATTAGACAACGCGCTGTAGAACTGATAACGACTACAAAATAACAAATGATAATTAGGTACATAATTTATTTTTAAGTCGGCTGATGTTATAAAGAGGAAATATTTCTTCAATCATTATCAATAAAAATATACAAAAATACAAACATACATACTTATGAAAAAAGTGTTAAAACAATAACAAATCTGCAAAAATTGTAAAAGCAACAGCTGATTTTATTTTTTGGGAGCTAAACATTTTAGTAAAGAAATTGTGAAATTTTAAAACTTACCGATTTCCATAACGCAAAAATCTTGTTGACATTAATAGTGTTGGTAAAACTTTAATCTGCATATTTTTGTTTTATTTCTTATTTTGTTTTAAAAGAAATGTTTTATAATTTCAAATTAATAGTAAAATAAAAGAAATATAAATTGAAACACAATGAACTTTGAAATAAACAAAAAATGTGTATATTAAATTATTTAAAAAGGTGTCTGTTGTGGGAAAGAAATAAATCAATAAGCACTAAAGAAATGTTTAAAGTAAAATATTTAGAAAATTCCACTGTCCTGCTTTTTGAACGTTTGTAAAACAACTGATTTGTAAAGACTATTGAGGAAAATTAAAGAAAATCTTTGTTATTAGAAAGTATATTTCATTATCAGTTTGTTTACATGTCTCTTATATATTACATATATATTTGATTTGCAAAAAAAATCGAATTTTAAAAAATAGAACAACAAAACAGAGACGACAATAATATATATGTATGTATATATACAGTACGTTTGTAGTATAAATAATGCACTTATGCCAACCAGAATTAAACACTGTTGAATTAACATTTGTTGGTGACGTTATTTTGTCTGAGTTGCCATTTCCAAGAAATTTTAGTCGGTATAGGATTCTAAGAAATCGGGAAACGGATAGAAAGATTGTCGACGGTCATTTTTTGGGTTATTAAAAAAGTGACAATTTTTTATTAAGGCACATTAATGTTATTTTACACACGTGTAGATAAGAATGTCTTAGTGCTTAACGTGAACAACTGTCTTGACAGCCTTATTTCACGGTGGACTTGAGAACGGTCTATCACACGCCTCCGAGTGACTTCGATGAAGAACACCCAGATGATAATTTTTGTACATGGTTTTGCCGGCCCTTGTACAAGCACTTTACTGGAGTAATCGAGCTATATAATCTCTTTTCAAGTGATCACGTTGCCAAATGACAAGTAGCAACAATACTACCCCAATAGGCGAAGAAGTTCCGGTCAAATCAGAAAACAGGAGTAACGAAACTCCAACAAACGCACACTATAAATCCATAATCACGATGTAACAACGAGATGGACCATCAGGTATATGCATTACTGGAGTAATCGAGCTATATAATCTCTTTTCAAGTGATCACGTTGCGAAATGACAAGTAGCAACAATACTACCTCGATAGGCGAAGAAGTGCCCGTCAAATCAGAAAACAGGAGTAACGAAACTCCAACAAACGCACACTATAATTCCATAATCACGATGTAATAACGAGATGAGACCATAAAGTATATGCGTCAGCCGTACAACCACACCACAAGGCTCTGTTGTTTCGGTAACAGCACTCTCTGTATGTCGAGATAATGGGACAAAGGATGTAAGAATTTCCAAAGTCAAACGAACCCAATAATTGACCCGACAAATTGAGTGGAGGGCCTTAACCATTAGTCGCGTAGACAAGGGAGTCTTACCAGATCTTTCACCAACTTACATCAATTCCATTCTCAGACCATAAAGAATGATCTACGTAATGATAGACAACTACCGAGTGTCAACCCGAAAATTCCCCAACCTATACTGGTGCTCTACTACGCAAATACTGAGAGATACTCAACAGTTTCAGGAATCCAGCATAAGTTCCTCTGTCACATCACCCAGTGACATCTTTTGAGATGGCAACACCACCTGTAAGATAATCCAGACATATATGACATTTGTATATATCAGTCTTTAAAGCAAACTTCTCTCCCTGCGAATTTGGGTATTAAACTACAGTCACTACGTGGATCCCGAAGGAACTTCAACTAACTGACTAGCCAGGATAAAGTCCTGTGAGAAACTGGCCACCCGTAGTACCAGATTATTTAGCGCTCTTGTTCGATCTCATGTCAAATCGTTCCAAAGAAAGGCCGAGGACACGTTTGTCCATTACCAGTTTATAGTCCCGGCAGACTGGAGGCATTGGTAGCTCGTCTATAACCCGGGATTGCATCAAGATGAGATATACCATGAAGCAAACATGCAATTGTGTTGGTTGTCTAGAGTGTTGGAAACACATGTAGACAGTCTTATTAAGATGACATAACAGATTTCATAAATAAATGTATCTTCGCGCTTTTATAGCGTCTCAAATAATGCCAAAACCGGCATTTCCCAAACTGCCACGATATCTGGAAAACCTGATAAATTCTGATTCAGATTCATCGCTACTCAATCCTTTAAAAAAGTATACTTTGGTCATAAAGCAGTGATAATGAAAACTTTCTACCGAATTTGATAAGGATCGATCGATAACTGAAAATATGAAGAAAATATATTAAGATCACTCGATGTTTTAGTCAACTAATTATGATATTCTGGTGGTGGGTATTGAAATTTATTACGATAAAGTCCTTATATATTTACGAATATTAATAATTTCTATTATTTTCCATAACTTTTCGGGGATCTCATACAATGTTGTTAGATGTCCGAAAATTGACATTTGGAAAACTTCGGTTGTTTTCTAAAAATATAACATTTATCGATAATTTATCGATATTCCCCACGAAAATTTTTTGTAAAATTCCAAATTTGTATTTAAAATTATCAAAAACAACTGTTTTCTTTAAAAGTTTTCGTTGTTAGTAATTAATTACCAATTTGTCATTTTTCTTAATTAACAATTCTATTTAATTACTTTTTTCTAATTGCCAAAAGTTTGATCATTGTCAAAATTCAATGATAATTTTCCAATTGTGTTATTTAATTCGCACATTTAGTTTTTAATGCAATTTTATCATGATTGATGATCGAAAGTTCAAGTGTAGGTTTAGATTTCATAATTCGGTTGAACTAAAAATTATAATTATTATTTAATATTATAATGTGTTTGGAATATAACGGTGAATCATTCAATTAGAAAGAGATCTAATAGGAAATAATTATTGCAAAATATATTGTCTTTTTTTTGCGCAAATATAAAAATTGCATGTTAAATGTACATGAAATTATTGATTATCTTTAGGTTTAATTATTGTCAGTGATTCTAAATCTTTAAATTTAATACTTTAAATGAAATAAAACTCAATTGTCTTGGGAAAAATATTTGGGTGATGTTGACCTTATATGGCAGTTATGTTAATCAAACCTTACAGTATAATTTCTCGGTGAAATAAACTAGCATGTGCAATATTTTAACACAATTTTTATATTATTAAAATATTTTTAACTGATTTCCAGAGCTACTTGTATGGGGGCTAGGTATCATCGTAGACCTGTATATCATCTTTTCAATACCAAATTAACCTTAACAATTGAGAATATTTCAGCCTTCCGATCGGACACTATCATGATTTCAACAGACGGACGGACATGCCAAGAATGTTTTAGAATCTAAAACTTCTGAGGGTCTGTGATCAATATTTCTATATGCTACAAATGGAATGACAAAATCATCATCTCTTTTGATGGTCGACTAACCAATTTTAAATTGTAGCGAAATATATAAATCAGGAGTTCTGAAATACATATACATTTCGATTCGTTCGATCAGGGAATCCAGAAATTTACCTATTTGAGAACTACTGCTGTTAAAGTTAAACAAATACGATTCGTTAAATGGTCATTAAAGTCAAAATTAACAAAAGAAACTGACTTCAAAGTCAAACATATTTAAAAGTAAAAAGTTATAATGTGAATTTATGAAAAAGAGCATTTGGCTAATTTAAAACATTTAATATTTTTTTTCAATGGTTGAGTGGTTTTATGTGCATTTTATTAAAAACTTAATTGTTATTAATTTGGTTGTACTTTTTATTCGAATACAAACAAAAGACCATGTTTTAAGGTTTTGTAAAGATTTCAGTAATAAACACATGCCGGTTAACTTATTTTTTAAAACTATATAAAATCTAGTATGTACATTGTCTATTGACCTCGAATTTGTATGGACTCGATTAACATTTGATTACAGCTTGTTTTTATGTTGGTCGAATTTGAAACATTTTTTTTGAAGGTACTGCATGCACACCTCGCATTCATTATTGGCATTCATCCTTAATTATCGAGCGAGAAACAAGTGTTCAAGTTGTTGGTGGTTGTCGAGTTATTGTTGAACATTCTTAACATAAGATTTGTTTCCATTTCTATTAAATTAATTTTAATTATACACCTGTTTGTTAAATACACGAAATAGTATTTAGGTCTATAGCACTTTATTGTGTAAATATTTCAACCATAAAAATTCAATTAATGCGTGTATAGTTTTTTTCTCAGTTATTTTATTTAAAAAATGCGTGCTCTAATTGCGTGTCAGTTAAATACATAGTTAAACTGTGTATTTTGTAGATACCAGACAGTTAGACGGTTTTCAATTAGATCATTTTATTATTGTTGCTTTTCTGTAGTCGATTATTATTAGTTGTTACAATTTTGAAATGCAACTTATAATCAAATATTGAATGCTGTATGTCAGTCACTTGAAGGCTTTCAAGTTTTTTTCTTTATTGTTTTTTGCTGAAACTTGTATGTTTATTCATTCTATGTATTTTGTTATTGTTTTCTGTATTTCTACAAAAAAAAAAAAAAATCGCAACAATTACAAATGAAGTCATTAAATTAAAATGTAGAACTTTCAAAAAATGTTTATTCATTTAAATTAAGGTTTTCGTAATTACAGTAATTTTACAATCCTAATAAGTATGTTTATATTCTGGATTCTTATAGATAGTGGAGTCGATTTAGCTACACATGTCCGTAGCAGAAGACCCCAGATATCTTCGGAATCCAAATCTTCAATAATTCTATAATAAGTACTATATATGCTAATGTGAAATTTCCTATTTAATATTAGCCAAATCGGTCCATAACAAGTAGGAAAGTATATACGATACCCTACACCATGAGTATATATTAAAAATTATTTACTTTTCATAAAGAAACTTTTATGTTGAATTTTACCTTAATTCTGATGTATTTAAGCAATGAAAAACAAAATTTCAAAAAGAGGCTTTATATGGAAGATCCGGTCAAAAATGGGCCGATTCTCAAAAAATTGGGAGAAGGGATGTATTTTTATATAAATGTTAGTTATGCTGATTTTCTTTGGCTATAGTAATGGTTATTAGTCAATTTTTAGAGGGGGTTCGTCTGGGGGCTAGGGTCAAACGACGGCCAATCTTTACAAAAATCGGCATAGTCATTAATGAATATATAAAACTTAGTTCTGCCTTCTGGAGAGGTAGAGGTATATTTGACGTAGTTATGAGTTAAAAACCCTAAATCGTAAGGTCAGGTTGTACGAGGGCTAGGTGAAATAATGGATCGATTTCAACCATTTTCAATAGGCATCGTCTTTGTGTTAAAAA